TGTGTGTGTGTGTGTGTGTGTGTGTGTGTGTGTGTGTGTGCGCGTGTGTATGTGTGTGTGTGTATGTGTGTGTGTGCGTGTGTGTGTGTGTGTGAGAGAGAGAGAGAAAGAGAGACCAACCACGCCGTTGGCCCCATGGAACTTCCATAGATGGGATGAGCAAAATCAAATGAATCTACCGCTAGAACATGGAAATATACACGGCCACACTGTATTTCCCCCCCTCCCTCTTGTCTCAACGGGTTGAAGGACGAGCGCCCAGGGGAAGGGGACAGACGTCGTTGCTGGAGCAACAAGCGCCAACTCAGAGGCTGCGACCTGTAAAAGAGGGGGGGGGAAAAAAAAAAAAAAAAAAAAAAAAAAAAAAAAAAAAAAAAAAGTAAAACGAGGCAGTAGTTCCCTCGTGGTTGGAAAAACAGTCATTTTGGCTGTATGAGAGCACAACTGTCCCACCTTTGGCTGGCGCGAATATTTTCGGTCGCGGGTATCGTATATCCTATGGCTCAGATCGCGCGCGTGGAAAAGAAGAGAGAGTTAGAGAGGGAGGAAGGAAGGAAAACGGGAGGCTGGGAGAGGGACGACCTACCTCTCCCAACCTGACAACTTCCCTCCCCATTTTCAGGGGAGGGCAAAAGAAAAGGGAGTTGGGAAGACAGAAGGAGAGGAAGGGGGGGAAAAAAAGCCACAATCACGAATGTGGCCGCGACTACGGTCAGATACAGGCCAGACTGGCCTGAATGTGACTCAGGCTAGAGGCTGGGGAGCTGAAGAGGTGGTGAAGGGAACTTGGTTGGAAATTGTCATTTTTTCAGTACACCTGTGCTCAGTGTGAGGCTAAGTACAAGGAAAAGTAGGGGAAAAGAGGGGGCAGTTGAGTATAACTGCCTCTCTAAGTGTGTGGCTGAGGTGCGACGACCTCAGACCCTTGATCGTGTTGAGATCGAGGGCCCCAGGCAAGTGACGAATTTTGCCTGGGGGCAACTGAGGCTCCTGCTGCCTTCCTCAGCCACTACAAAAGAGGCAGTTGTCCTCCAACTTCCTCACAATTGCCTCCAGCAGCGAGTGTGCGACAACATACTTGCCTCATTTTGGAGTGTTGGAGAGGAGGCAGGAGTGTTGCAGACGGAGCTGGAGGACGACAGTGGAGTACAGTGAGGAGAAGGAGACAGCCTTAGCCTGGCTGGAACACTCTGTTTCATCCAATGGCTGGCTAGTCTCTAGGGGGATTTACGGCAACGCGGCGAGGAACGATCATGAGATGTGACAGGGGACGACGACGATGCTACGGCACTGTGAGGGTGTTGCAGCACGACATCATCGACCGCCATTACAACAGTATTGGGGAGATGCTGTCCGAGCGGTGCGGCATCGCTAGCAGCCATTTTTCTTACGCGTTCGGGAGGTGCTGCCGGATTTTGGTGCAGCAACACTTGATTTTTTTTTATTTTTTATTTTTTTTGAGCGGGGAAGTGCTGCCGGATTTGCGGCACGACGACACTTGATTTTCTTTTGGCCGGGAAGTGCTGCCGGATTTGCGGCGAGGCGGCACTTGATTTTCTTTTGGCAGGGAAGTGCTACCGGGTTTGCGGCGTGGCGACACTTGTTTTTTCTTTTAGTAGCGGCACTTGATTTTTCTTTTAGCGGGGAAGTGCTGCCGGATTTGCGGCGCGACGACACTTGATTTTCCTTTTAGCGGCGGCACTTGATTTTTTTTTTAGCGGCGGCACTATGAAATTTGCGTGAGGAGCGAATGTTGGGGGTTGGGACTGCCTCGGCTCTTGTGGCAGTGGTACCGGACCGTTTGGGACTGCCTAGGACCAGTTGGGACTATCGTGGGGCGTATGCGGTCACAACGGCAGTCTCTGAACTGGTTGGGTTTAGTGGAACTCGGGTTTTTTTTTAGGAGGGCGACGTGAAGTTATTGTGGTCAAAGGTCTTTTGACAAGGTGGTTGGTGGCGCAGGACCATCTGGAACCACTTGGGACCGGTTGGGACAAATGTGGGACCAGTTGGGACTGACTTGGAACCAACATTTTTTTGGGACTCGTGCGACTTGCCACCATCGAATCTGGGACTACCGCGTGTGGGACTTGCGAGTCAGGAACAAATTGGGACAAAGAGTTGGCTTGAGACTTGCCTTGGGACTGCAGTTTTCTTTGGCAATAAGTATATTTCTACTTGACTTTCTTGAGTGAGCCATGGCGTATTCGGCACCACTTCACTCAAGGTCAATCGGTTGATTGACTTAGATTTCCCTTCACACCTGTGTGAACCCACACTTTGCTTGACCCTGTTCATTGAATGTTTG